AGGAAAGGCATACAAATGGAATCCTGTCCAGTAATAACTGAAAGCATCTATCACCAGAGTTTGTGGATGTGGAATTGGAGGCAGGAACTGTAGGCTAGCATTCCAATGGGTTGCAAAGGTGTATCATTGGAGAGTCAAACTGCAAACAAATCCATTGAAAGACCACCTGACGGAACGTCATTGCTGGTGGAAGAATCTGATGGAGTTGAGAAAGCTGATCTGCTATCAAAATCATAACCCCTGGCTCAAAAGATGGATGTCATTGAAATGAGCCGAAAAAGAATATCCAAAGCCCGAAAATCAAGATTTCAAGAATGAGAACTTCCCTTACGAGAAAGATATGAAACCACCGTGGAGTAATCAGAATGAATCATGACCATTTTTGTTGTGCAAAAGAAGGAAGACCTGGAATCATCACTAAATGTACTGCAAGAAGTTCAAGAATGTTGATATGCAGGGTAGATTTATAGTCAGTCCAAATACCATGCAATACCTACCCCAAAAGAAAGGCACCCCATTCATGAAGAGATGGATTTTCACATGAGGAGGTGGTATCCAGACCCTGATATTCGTGTTTTTCCTGTCTAGCCACCACTTGAGACCTGCAAATTGCTCGAGCAAAGAGACTGTGTGATCCAAAGAATCAGTATGCAGGAGCCACTGGCCACGAAATGACCACTGAAGGGATCTCATATGGGCCTGATCCAATGGTATGAGGGATTCTAGGGAAGCCCAAATCCCCAAAAAAAGACAGAACTATCCATGCAGTGGGAGAAGGTGACATAAGCAAATGCCTGACAATCCCTTCCCTTGTGTGAAGTCTGAGGGGAGTAGGTTGAGCTCAACTCAAAGTGCATTGAAAAACACCCCAAGATGAACCATGTATTAAGTTTGTGAGAAAATCGATTTTTCCAACCTAATATAATGTCCACCCTTCTGGCACCGGAAAGGATAATTTGTGGATGTAGTGTGGCAACGTGACAGGTTGGTGCCAAAAGACGTCAATCTTCCAAATAGCGATGTGCGCACAGACCCAGAAAGTGAAGATGCTACTCAAAGGCCTGTACTACTCAGTAGAAAACATATGGTGCTGAAGCAAGTCCAAACAGGAGAGCTTGGAATTGCTACATCTGGTCCTCGTGCAAAAAATGTAGAAATCAACAAAAAGACTCTGCTATGGGAATGTGAAGGTAGGCATCTGTACAATCAAACTTGGTCATCCAAAGATCAGGTGTGAAGTGCCATTGAAGTCGAAAATATTCCATTGTGAAACGAGGAGGCTGTAGGAAGAGATTGAGTCGAGACAGTTTGATAATAAGATGCCAATCTCTAGTGTTCTTGGTCACCAGAAAAAGACAAGAATAGAATCCTGGATGAACGGGATCGATCTTCTGAATGGGTAGACACCGATGCCACTGGCGTCATTCCGACTATCCAAAGATCCCCTGAGAATATGGATGGAACCGATTCTGTAAACCAATAGGATGAGGCGTAGAATGTGGGGGCCATGAAACGAGATTGATCGATCCTCCAAAATTACCCGTTGGAGTAGAAGAGAGACGAGCAGCCAATGATGATAAAGAAAACTGCAAACGTGCCATATAGAATCAGGTTTCGAAAGTTTCTGGGACTCTGGCAAACTAGTAAGGCCAAAAAAGAGGCAACTCCTAGAAATCACGAAGAGAAGTATCACAATACAGTAGTAAGAGTTAAATGAATCGGTGATAATGGAGATCTGGTAAGACGGATAACAGGTTCTAGCCTGGAACCCCATAGATAAAACTGTCGAGTGTCCAAATATACTACAGCCAGATGTTGATAAGCCAGAGCATACTGTTCTGATAAATGAGGGGAGCAAGGCATAGCAATACTCTCTCATAATTGCATTGTAAACATCCCAGCATATATGGCAATATCAGGGGGAAGATAAAAGAACTAAGTAATCCCTCTCGAGATCTATCTGACAACAAGGCAGGGTAGACTTAAAAGCAGGGGGGTGAATCCCCAAAGCTTCACAAACTCACGTAACTAACTGCAGAAAAGACGCAGAAGGTAGCCGATCAGATGAGCACTCAGCAGAGGCAGCTCTAGTAATAGAAGGAGCAGAAAACAGTGTCTAAATTCTCCCCAGTATATTCAGGTTCATGATAAAAAGCGAACTCTGAACTCGCGGGGAAAAACAACCTGGTCAGACAACAAAGGAGGAATGTACAACATCTGGTTAACCCCGTGTTTTTAAACTGCAAAAGAAAACCAACGAAATATTGTCAACGGGAAAAAAAAAACACACCAGACTACTGTCAAAATGCTTCAAAAGAAAATGTTAACCAAAAACAGTGCTTTGTTGAGAAAAAGTGTTTATATTGTCACCAGACAATGCTTATATACAGTACTAGCATAGAGGGCATGTGAGGGATGGTATAAAGTTTTGCAATTTAGATATTGCTGAGGGCAGTCGAGTGAGGTATAAAGACTGGAGCAAGTGAACACGGTGTTTAGATGGCAAAGATGAAGATCAAGAAATAGCTATAAGTGTCAGCAGAGGTATGTAAGTTTTGGAATTGTATACACTCTTTTTGAAAAAAAAAGGTTATAAAAATAAGTGTTATGTATTTTGTTTTACACTTTCATAGCAAAGTAAATGTTAAAAACAACTCAACTATACCTTTTACAGGAGGCAAGTACTTCTTCACAAATTCAGCAGTAATTTTTGTGAACAGTTCCTCTACAAAGAGAAACAGAATAAGCCTTGTTATTATTTATTCCCTCTTGTTCAGACATTTTTCATTAGTGAGAAGGAATTAGAAAGTTATAATCTAGATCTAATATTTAAAATTTAATTGTTGTAATGTGAAACACTTCAAGTGAGCTAGTTGAATGCAGTAGCTTCAACTTTCACCACGCCAGTTAGGGAAGAGTAACGGTATATATAAGAGCCACACCACAAAATTGGCACATACAAGTCTTTGGGTGGTGTTGTTCATCATGAACCTAGCTGAGCTGCAGAAAGCTAACGACTCCTTCAGTTGGTTAATCCACAGCTCTTGTTACTTGGCTTGAAATAATATGTTACATATAGTTTAGGGAGAACATTTTCTTACCATATAAAACTAAAATTGTATTGTTTAAGAAGAAAGATGATTTGAATAAGGGCTTCTATATGATTAAACTATACAAGTGTTTTATAGGTTACCGAGATATCAAATGTATTGTTTGGTTATTCAACCTGCGATACGTGTGTTTTATATGTTACTGAGATACAGAAAGTATCATTTGGTTTTAACACTCTAATTTACAATGTTTATGCATATCAAATAATTGTAGGCAGCTAAATTTAAAGATATTAAAATTAATGACTTTCCTTCAATGACTTCATTTCTTGGGCCACTCTAATAGAACAGTGGGATTTGACCACCACTCTTATAATGCACACACTACTTCATAGTACAGAGAAAGTATTGTTTTTTACTGTAAAGGGACATGAACTAAAGACTATTAGATATATATCTCTAGGTCATGCTCAACCCACGGCTATTAAGTAAAAAATATGGAAATAATTTAACAATATTTACTGAAGGCTTGTAAATCATGTTGGATTACATCTTATAAAGGATCTTTAGAAACTAGTTGCAATTAACAATATTTACTGAAGGCTTGTAAATCATGTTGGATTACATCTTATAAAGGATCTTTAGAAATTAGTTACTATTAACAATATTTACTGAAGGCTTGTAAATCATGTTGGATTACATCTTATAAAGGATCTTTAGAAATTAATTACTATTAACAATATTTACTGAAGGCTTGTAAATCATGTTGGATTACATCTTATAAAGGATCTTTAGAAATTAATTACTATTAACAATATTTACTGAAGGCTTGTAAATCATGTTGGATTACATCTTATAAAGGATCTTTAGAAATTAATTACTATTAACAATATTTACTGAAGGCTTGTAAATCATGTTGGATTACATCTTATAAAGGATCTTTAGAAACTAGTTGCAATTAACAATATTTACTGAAGGCTTGTAAATCATGTTGGATTACATCTTATAAAGGATCTTTAGGAATTTGTGTCTATTTAATTTCTAATTAAAGATATACATATATCAAGTAAATACAAATGATATAAACATTTAGCACTATAAGCATATCAGAGTATAGTTACACCTTGCACAATACATGTCATAGTATAGTTACATTTTCTAAATTATGTATCACAACTTAGTTATAAACACCCAACAAACCTTACCAACACATTCTCCTGTTTTACTTGATGTTTCATAGAGTTCAGCACCCATTTCATCGGCATAGTCAGTAGTAATGTGGTAATCAATCTTTCTCATTGTTCGGTCTTCCTGTACCAAATCTTTCTTCGTTCCACACAAGTATATCTTGCAATTCTATCAAGAGATCAAAATAAGTTTTCATGCTTGAACAAATGATGTAAAATGGAAAGAAAGAAGACTCAGATAACTGAATGTTTTGTATTTACACATTACCAATGTGTAGACAATCACACATTCTCCACATTGTTTTTAATTCTCCATTGATCTGTGTAAATAAATAAATTTATAACCAAATAATGGGAATGTCATTGATAATGATAATATTTTGCCATCACACACCGGGTCCTACCATAATCATTCAACCTAGCTATAGATTGACCTAATGTTCTAAAACATTTTCTAAAGTGCTTTAGTTAGAAACTTCCCACAAACATAAACTATTGTTCAAACCATTACATTTATTACTCAAGTATGACTTGAAAAGCAATTTTTCATATATTCAAACTTTCTTTATAGCTGTGTTTCATTAGTAAATGACCAAACCACTTGATATGACATCATAAAAGAGTATCAATCAAGGACTTACGAGAACTAAGAAGGAAAAGACAAAGAAAATGATTGAAAATCAATAAATGGTTAATACACTCTGAAGGAATAATAGGTTCAAAAATAACAAAAAGTTATTAATTGTAAATACTTTCTGAAGAGTGATATATATTTTTGGTTTGTTTGTTTTTAAGCAAAAAGCTATACAATGGTCTATCTTTGCTGTGCACTTCATGGATATTCAAACCTAATTTTGAGCATTATAAGCCTTCAGACTTATCACCGAGGAGTACTTCTTTTTCATGTTTGAAATCTTTTAAACTAAATACTCCGTCTAGCAAGCTCTGACAATTTCATTATGTTTTCTATGAACATCAGCATTGTTGGTCAAATATTCTTCAACTGTTTTGAAAATAAGTTTCTTTCCAACAATAAAAATCACATTTAATTAATTGACACCCAACAGAAAGCTTATACCTGAAATAATCTGTGTTTCTGAAAATCTTTTATCAGTGATTTTTTTAGGGTAATGAACTTTATTAACTTATTATAAAAAGTATTTAGAAACTAGATAACCGCAGAAGTGAATACATTTATTCTTGGTGACACTGGTAATAAATCAGAAAGAAATATTAAATGTAACAATACAGGCTATCGTAAGTTACATGCACTTACTTCTTGCAATTTTATAAACTTTAATGTACATGCCACTTTCACTTGTTAAAGGTAGAGGGAAATAAGATTATCATGGGTATTTTGTAGACAACAATTTGTTATTAAAAAACAAACTATGTTGATGGTAACACTGCAAGAAAAATTGGGGTAGGTAGGATTTTTATTTTTTTCTGTTAAACATTATTTACACAGTAGTGAAGCTCACCAAAAAACCAACCATTATAACTCACAATCTACTTCATTTGAAAGGGAACCCTCACACAGTAGTATAGCTCACAAAAAATGAACAATTATAACTCACAAACTACTACATCAGAAAGGGTACCCTCACACACTAGTGAATCTCACCAAAAAACAAACAATTATAACTCACAAACTACTACATCAGAAAGGGTACCCTCACACACTAGTGAAGCTCACCCAAAACCAACAATTACAACTCACAAACTACTACATCAGAAAGGGAACCCTCGCATAATAGTAGTGAAGCTCACCAAAAAAACCCACAATTACAACTAAAAACTACTACATCAGAAAGAGAACCCTCACACACACCATTTCAATATACTTAAGCTTTCATCAGTTTACAATTAACTACTATTCCTTGTAACTATGGGATTTTTGGTGAGCTTTACTACTGTGTGACGATTTCCTTTCTGATGTAGTAGCTTGTGAGCTGTAATTGTTGGTTATTTGGTAAGTGCTACTACTGTGTGAGGGTTCCCTTCTGATGTAGTAGCTTGTGAGTTGTAATTGTTGGTTTTTTGGTGAGCTTCACTAGTCATCAAACCTACTCAGGTGTACTAAGTTACTTAATAAACAACTATTGAAGGATTGAGAAGTCATCAAACCTACTCAGGTGTACTCTATACTAAGTTACTTAATAATTTCTCAATCCTTCAATAGTTGGTCATCAAACCTACTCAGGTGTACTAAGTTACTTAATAAACAACTATTGAAGGATTGAGAAGTCATCAAACCTACTCAGGTGTACTCTATACTAAGTTACTTAATAAGATTTAATTTCAAACACTTGTATTTGTTTCACATTAAGAAACTTATTTTTTTGTTGACAGATTTGTAGAATTTGCCATCACTGTGACACTCAGTAAATTCTAGATAAATTATTTTAACTATAGTATTTCAGAATAAAAGTTTTATCTATGTCCTCGTTTTCTGAATTTCATGGATGTATTTGTTTTCAAAGGACACCGCTGGTAGTGAGAGATATGAAGCTATGAGTAGGATATATTATCGTGGGGCCAAGGCAGCTGTAGTGTGTTACGATCTCACAGAAGGTTCCAGTTTTGAGAGAGCCAAGTTTTGGGTGAATGAATTAAAAAAGTATGAAGAGGTATATACATACCTGTGAACATATTTATTATAATACCTATCCTTTTATTACAATAACGAAAAGAACATTTGTTAGAAACAAAAGCAGTTACCATTAATTTTCTCAATCCTTCAATAGTTGACAGAAAAATATAAAACAAGAAATTAATTTTCCCGAGAAAAAGTTTGAAATACCACAAGTGTGGTTTCACTGATTGAGAATTTCTACAATAACTTGAAGAAAAAGCTATAAAATGTTTAAGTGGTATATATAAGCATACATACCAATTAATATACATTATTTTTTACACTCTGGCAATCGTAATATCACTAGCATTGCAAACATTTAACAGGAACATACAGTCTTGTCTTACCATTTCTTTCAATTTTGATATAGACTTACACATTTAATATTAAATATAAAACAATCCTAAATAAAAAAAAAGTTAAAACTACTAAAGCTGCCATCTTTGGGTCATGCTAAGTATATGAAATCTCTTTTTAAAAAAAAGTAAAATCTGTTAGTGCTTCCACCTATTGGCTATAAAATATAAAAGATATATCAACTGCTCTGCTATTTGATGACAAAGACCCCACTTGTTAGAAAATAAAGTTTGGAGATGGCTTGAATGGGTAGTTAAAGACACTTTATTACAAATGTACAGTGTTTCGACAAACTTATGTCATCATCATCATCAGGCACAAGATGAAGATCATGACATAAGCTTAACAAAATGTTGTACATGGGTAATAAAGTGTCTTTCACTACCAATTCAAGCTGTCTCCAAACTTTACATCAACTGGAAGTTTGACAGGATGTTTTAAGGTATTATTTTATATTGAAGCTCCTTTTCATGTTCAATCAATTCAGGTTACTAAAAAAACAGTTCATTTGACAAATAATTATACATTGTAAACATGACACTCACCCACACTCCCATAGTTATCTGTCTGTTGTCAAAGTAAATTTTTTTGGCTCCAAAAGCAGCCCCAATGGTCTGTAAGATAAAATGTTATCTGATAATATTACTGGAAAGAATATATGTTACATTATTATAAAAAAATCAATATATACTCTCAGAATTAGGTAGTTCTCAAATTGAACATTGTTAAATAGGTTGGTAAAATAATAATAAAGATAAAAGTAGCACAATTCTGTGGAAATAAGAATGTTAATTTTGCACAGCCTATGTTGCTAAGGTCATAACCAGACTGAGTTCATGTACAAAAATTAAACAGCATCAAATGAGAAAATTATAATCACTTCTAATGTACTTTAATATTGATAAACCAACAATTGGATGTGACCATTAGTTGGGCTGCTACCACAGAAACATGATCTCATTTTGTAACCTGTCCATGTGCAATTACTCATATACTTTATCTGGTTAAATAAGAAAAACTCAGATTATTTATGTATTAAACCGTTATTGATAACACTGCTGGCTACAATTAAAACAATTTCAACAAAAACATGCACTTAACATGTTTAAAAAAGATAATCAGTTCTGATGAATCATCAACTGATTTAGCAGTCCACAAATTTAAACATACCTTGTGACCAGTATCTACACTTTTATTACACGTATGTACTGATTAAATACAAGAGAATCAAGTATAATGTTACTGAACCGACAATGATACCAGTTGCTTTAATTAATTATGAATATATACTGCTAGCACCTTCAAATCAAAACTTACAAGGAGTGAATAATACCAACAAATATTTACAAAAATTATACAAAATTTTTGTAAAAAACTAATGTTTGAATATGCTGACTATGGTATGTTTATAAATTCTGTACTTGTATCCTTTTCCTTCCTAAACAATAAAATGTTTATTTTCAAGCACAAATTGAAGAACCAAACATAATGTTCCTGAGTGACTAATTTAAATCTGTCTTATGACACACAGACAAGTAAAGTAGTTAATGCAATACAATATTAATTTGGCTCCCAAATTAAAATCAATACAAAATACATACCTAATGAAAATATCAACTTTTGCTCTATTGTTTGAAAACACTTTTACAAACCCTAAGCAATCAAGTTACCATATTGTTTTTAGCCATGATCAGAATTTAATATTCTGTCTGGTGTTTATGATTTGTTGTTAAAATTAAAAAAACTTCAAAAGTATTCTGGATTTTTTGGTTAAACACTTCTTAAACCATAAGCTTTATTGAAACAAACCTAAGTTGTAATGACTTACATTCTGATAAGGAGCACTTCCTTTGAAACGATCGTACAAATATCGTTCTACAAGACTGGTCTTTCCTCCATACTCCTTTCCCAGAAGCACAACTTTGAGATCCACTCGACTCATTTCAAATCAGTCTGGAGATGTCATACAACTATTCTATACTGAATAAAACATCAAGATCATGGATGTGAGTAGAAATATAAAGCTACTACTTTAAATATATAGTATCAATGCAATGTTTTAAGATTGTGGAAAACTTTTTCTTTGATTGAAATTAACAGTAATTTTCATTACAACTAACTTACAATAACTGAAACAAAACAATATTTCATGTTGTCTAGTCAGTGAGAACTATTGTTCTAGTACACTTTATATGTAGTCTTATCTTTCTTAGTAAACTGGTTCTAGGTAACTTCTTCCTAACATGCTAGTGTTACAAAGAACTTTTGTTTCAAATAGGCAGATCAACTGTCATAACACAATACATATTTCTAATAGTATTAATAGGTTTCAAATTTCAATTATGCAAAATAATTCTAAATCATTTTATGTACTATTTTCTTTATTCAATTATTATATTATCTTCAAATTCCTACTTTATAACATAAGGCATAAAACATTCCAACTGTCAAAGTATTAACACAAAAAAACACTTTTCTCCTTCATTCAAAGAGCGAATAACATTTGTTTTCTTCATAGTAAATAGCTTAAAAAACAACGACTTTAGAAATAATAACATACACACTAGCAAAATTAACCTAAAACTTACCTACACGAAAAAATTACAATCAAAGAGTCATAATATTATTCATTTTGTCCAGGAGAACAATATTTATCATGACCTATGTTTTACCTTCTCTTTACTAAGCAAATGAAAAATAAATATTATTGTTCTGGCAAAAACACACAAACCCATAAACAACAAATAATCATGAGTATCACTCTTAACAGTATAAGTCAGATTATCTTACATTTTTAAGTTCAACATATCAGAGCTATATCAAAACTTCCACACATGGTTACTGGCTGTCTCATTCTATGATGATCTCAAATTATCAACTTTGATTACAAATCTTTGTCCTACACTGTTGTCATAGGTTATTCCTACAATGATGAAATTTTAGATAGTGGAGATACAATTGTTCAATATTTTCTAGCCTGACACAACTTCATGGTAACATTCATATTTCCAATGTATATAAATAAAAATATTTTTTTTTGATCAATGATTGTAAGTCTGAGTTACAGAATCAACAGTTTTATTATAAGAAACATTAATTACTATGTGTGATCCGATGAATCTAGACTTGCAGAGATTTTACGGTCCATTAATTAACAAAATGGAGATCTGTGTATATGTAATCTCTGCCAGAGACATGAATACACAGATTAAACACACTATACCTGGGATTGTGTGTACCTGGAGTTATGCCCCAATGATTTCTCTAAGTTTTTATGAAGCTAAATATAGATTTCTCAGACATTGTTTACTTACTGGTAATAGCAATAACAGTGTACCCAAAAGTACAGAAAAATTGTGTTAAAAGAAAGGAGCTGATGCAATGTTCAACTTAACGTGACAATAGAAACAATAATTAAGACCAGGAATTAAGGAACCAATGATTGTTTCATCTGCCTCTTTACTACTATAACAAGCAAATGATGAAAGTAAACAAATCATTTACAAATGTATTTTGATTCATAAATGATTGGTGGAAAATACAGAAGTCACTAGGTAACAACTAACTTTTCACTAATAACTACATAACATGTGAGATAGTTAAGTTTTAGACTATTTGAACATAAATTGAGTGACATTTGCACTCTGCGCTGTGAGGGTAACCAAATTTTGAGAAACCCACGATTAATGTGATAGACTTGGTATGTCTGCTGTTGTGTCTAGTTCTCATTATTGCTGGTAAAGGCCTAATCATATAATCAAAAATCACAACTAAATAAAGATTATGAAACATATATAAGTTCTAAATAAATTAAACTAATTATAAGAACCTATGAATTAAAGCAAAGAATATTATTATGTCATTCACTCAATACTGGGGCTTATCAATATCATGTTCACTGACACTGTGACAGACATAGTGGTCTAGTCTAGGCTACTGAGAATCTAGGTGCTGTATAGTGTATACATATAAATCATCACTTAACTTAAGGTTACACCTCTAAGCCCATGTGAATCAGTTAGTACAGCGTAGACCTAATTACTAATTATTATTAATAATAACTGTGAAAGTAAGAAAAACCTATAAATTATAACGATCATAGTAATCAGAGCCCGTATTCTAAACAATACTATTCGACTTTAGACTAGCGTTAGATTTTAAAGTTTCACTTTTTCATCATTTCAGAAAAGTTAAAAGTATTTTTATGTAGTAATTGTTAAATTCGACGAATAAGAGATACTGTGCTAACTCAATCAATCATTATAATTTTTGTTTTACTAACCTGAATTAAAAACGTCACAACTTCCATTACTACACACTCAATTTGAAATTACCAAACTACCATTTCCGATAAAACCTTACAGTCTAGTCAAGTCAGATGTTTGTAGAGCATAAGCGCTATCTTTCGGTAATAACGTACACTTTAAGCAAGTTTCAAAAGAAACATAAAAAAGATAGATAAGCAGTTCTATGATTGGAATAAACGTTCCATTTATTTATCATATTAAAGCTGTTGGATATTAGCCAAATAATTGAATGAATTATATTAGTGGCATTGATAATAAAGCTGAATGTGGATGATAAGTTATTAATGTATTAATTTATTAAATTTAAACTTTCGTATTACATACATTACGAACCTTTGGAGTTTCAATCGACTGATACATTTCATTAAAATTATTTTTTAACTAGTGATGCTGGCTGGAATATAAATATAATTATTCTTTCATATCGTAATCATCAAAGGAACTTAATCATGTATTGAATGTTTAGTTTTTTGTTTTTTTTCTTGTACCCATAATACACATATGAGTTAAACATGGCGTTTTAATAATTTTTATTTGTAAGAAATTTCAGAATCTACACTCGACTCACAATCTGCGGCTCGCGGGTTCGAATCCCCGTCACACCAAACATACTCGCCTTTTCAACCATGGGGGCGTTATAATGTGATGGTCAATCCCACTATCAGTTGGTAAAAGAGTAGCTCAAGAGTTGGCGGTGGGTGGTGATGACTAGATGCCTTCCCTCTGGTTTTACACTGCTAAATTAGGGACGGATAGTGCAGATAGCCCTCATGCAGCTTTGCGCGAAATTCATAACAAACAAACAGAATCTACACTAATCTAACATAGAGGTCCAAATTTAAAGAGTAAAGTAATTAATTGGTATTGTATCCCATAATAATTCACGTTGTGTGTTAGTTTGGTTCTATCTCCGTGAGCCCCAACTCCCACAGTTTTGGAACTCATAGGCCCAAATTTGGCAGCGGAATCGCGGTGCTCTTGGGGTGTACTTAACTATATCGCGTATCCCTCTACCTATTTCTATTCTTCACACTGTCATAAATTATATACTTCTTTTGTCAATATGTAATCAGCTAATCTTATTGCGCGTGTAATTTTGTAGAAATATCTTTATCATTCAGTAATAAGCTCATCGATATTTTCAGTGTAACAAAGATGTGGTATATGACACTGTAAAACGTGTAAAATTAAGAGACTTTGTTGTATTTTAATTTTGTGTTTGTAAATTCTGTACATTTATTTAACTTATTGTTAATTATCTATTGGTTTAATGTAAGTGGCTATTGTTCGGGACGAACAATACTGAGGAAGGGGTAGTGTTACGAAAGCAGAAGTCACGTGACGCTGGTGGCGTGCGTGATGAGTTTCTCGAATGATCGGGGAAGTCCGAGTGTGTTGGAGATGCCCTCTTCGTTAGTATATAAGCCTGGCAGAGGAAAGTCAACGCGTGGGGGGATATCTAAATGAAGAGAGAGCAGTAGTTACTTTAAGTTCTCTGTAATTTATGATTCTGTTAATTTCGAGCTAGTGAGCCGTAAAGTATGTGTGTGTTTTGCACTCGTCGAGAGTTATCGAAATTGTGAATCGCTGTGATTTATAGCGTGTATTATAAAAGTTGTTAAGTT